GTCATGTCCTGGGACTGAAACACAGAACATTGTAATTCGCTTGGCATAGCATTAAGGGATATATGCAAATTTAATTATGCAGCTTTTTGGTCCGATAAGATGCTCGGAGTGGGTTTACAATTCTTCAATGCTGACTTCTTCGAGAAGGCAGCAAAATACACTAACACCCCTAATATGCTAAGCATACAAATTCTATTCTTTAAATCTCGATGATCACATTCCTATATGCATGGTACTTTCCTGGGTTTACAAGCTAAATACTCGTATTCCACACACATACAAGGGCACTTAAAGGTGCACAACCCTTTACACACTTCGGTTTGGTGTAAACACTCCATTAAAGTCATTGGAGTTATTAACCACAGTAGATCGGGCTGTACTTTTGAAAGGAGTTGATTTCCACATGTACTTTTTCTTCACAACAGAAGTTTCAACAAATACACTATTTTGGGGACGAGCTTGGCGGTCGTGTTTTACGAACGGTAGGCAGAAGCCAGGGTTACAAAGGCCACATCGTTTGCTGGTAGATAATGCACTCTTTCACAAGCCCGAGGTCCCAGAAAGGACCCGAAAAGTTCCTGGAAACCAGTATAAATTAGGCAACGTCAGATAGTGGGTCAGTGACTCCGCAGGTTGTAAGGCAATTTTCGGGAGAATAGTGCAGTTCAGCCGCAACACCACCTTTCTCTTCTCAATCCCTGACTGAATGTCCAGCCGAAACAGCGCTTTCCGCCTCTAGCCGTAGCCGGCTTCCTTGCGAGGAGCTAAAAACTGTGGCTTTACCTGCGCCCTCGCTGAGCTGGTCGGCTCGCCCCTTCGGGGGGTGGAGGAGACTACGGTGCAGCCGAGGAGAGGTCTACCCCGAAGGATGAAGCTTCTTAATATATCCACGGAGATGAAAGGGGAAGTGTGGTAAAAGGCCATTTTATTTGCATGGTAGCCCCTACCGGACCCGTGAACGGATAAAACCGAAAGAGAAAGAGAGGGAGGAGACAATTAGCCTTCGTTAGAATGCAGCTCTGAGCGAAAAGTTCCATCTGAGCGAAGAGCTCTTTGTCCCTCGCCGGCATCCTTACGCCAGCCCTGCGCGGCGAAGCGGGATGCTGAGAGGAATCGCCGCGTCAGCAGCGCCGCTCCTGGCGCCAGGAGGGCGGTCCTGGTCCCGATCCCGGGGCGTCGAGGAGCGCTTGGGAGGCGGAGGTGGCCGGAGCTGGAGGCCTCCGCGGCCCTCGCAGGGATGTGACTCGTTGAGCTACGGGGAAGTGCCCGTCTCTGGGGAAAGTGGGTCCCAATCGGGGAGCAGGCGAGGGGGGCCCCGCTCGCGAACGGGATATGCGCCATGGCCTCGGTGAAGGTGGCTGTCAGAGTCAGGCCCATAAACCGCAGGTGAGAGAGCGAGCCCCTTCTCTCCTCCTCCCCCAGTCTCGATGGCAGGAGGGTCTGCGGGTGTCTCTTTCCCGCCTCGCACGGACAGAGCAGCTCCGAGTGTGATACGCAACCCGTGCGGGGCTTCCCTGCTTCATTTGGCCTCCCCCCGTCTTTGGCTGCTTTAAACTGGCATACTTCCAGCGTGACCCGGGATAGCTAAGTAAATAAGGCTGCTCGAAGCCTGCCGGTGAGCGGGTGGAAACGAAACTCCTGCCCTACTTGTGGCATTTAAGGGGATGTTTGTTTCTTGGTTCTTGTATGCTAAAGCTACCATTTCCCCCCTCTTCTATACAATTAAACAGTAAAGGCACAAGGAAGTTGGCTTTTTAAAAAATCTGATTTACATGGGCACAGATGTGTGGGCAGGACCTTTCAACATCCATTGTATAAGATACTGCCAGACATATTTCTGTGTATTAAAATATTTTCTGTTCAGAAGGTAGCAGTGTTTTTTTAACGTATATAAGGACAGCTTCAGCAAAGCATGTCACTTACAAAGTTCCACCATAAATGTGATTCTGATATTTTATTTAGCTTGCACTTTCCCATAAGCTGAGTACTAGTAACTGATTGGTTGCTTCTTGGTGGCTGCTTCTAACTCATTGAAATCTGATATCAGATTATGTGGAGAACCAACTGTCAGCAATATTCAGATATACATTTTTTTAAAAAAAAATCACACTTGCATAATATCAGTATATTCCAGAATAAATTTTACTTCACATTGTTGGCAAATGCCTCAAAAAAGAGTTACTTGCCTATTTGGAATCTTTCTGTGTTGACATTACCAATAATTCTAGTAGAGCAATAGCAAATCTGTGTTCAGCCTTAAAGCTTGTTAGCTTTTGATTTGCACTATTTTTCAAAGTTTACAATTGTTCTTGACTTCGGTATGAGATTTTCCTGTAGTGAACAGAAACTGAGTCTAGGCAACCAAATGGGACAAGAGAGGAAAACAAACAGAGAGATCATGTGCCTTCCTGATTTTGAGACAGTTGCAAATATGATAGGTGGGATTTCCTCATCCTTTTCTACAAGTGGAAAGAAAAAACAAACATGCCTTTGGCCAGAACAAAATCCCTTAATGTTGAATAGCGGTGCCCCTAGAATGAAGCTTTGTATTAGGCAGCAGGTTCTGACTGTCCAGCCAGACCCCTAAATAGATAAATGAAGTGGCACTTGCTTTTTTGTGCCTCTATTTAAGTCTGGAAGAAGCTGGACTATGATGCTATTTTTGCTTTACTTCTTATGTTAAGGAATACAGTATTGTGGTGATATTGTTTAGTTCCGGCATAGCATGTTGTATTCACAGTTCTTGTAATTTATCAGTCATGCTTTATAGTACAGTACTGTATAGCATATTATATGAGCCCAGCCACTTGTAATTTATTCAATGAAGCATAGCTTAGAACAATGTAAATCAAATCACTATATTTTTTTGCAGCAGAGAGAATGAAAACGATACTTAGTGTCCTGATTTACATATTGTGTTAAGCCATCATTTGTTAAACTGTAGTTTATCGAATGGACCACAG